GAACAGGGCAGTGCCCGGATATAGCTCAAGTGGTAAAGTGCATGCTTAGCATGCAGGAGGTCCTGGGTTCAATCCCCAGTACCTTCTCTAAAAATAAATAAACTAAATATATCCCTCCTCTAAAAAAAAAGTAATAATAACACTGCTAAAATTCACCTGAGCTAGAAATCTGTCCACACCTACCTGGATAATTCCACAGGGGGCTTTGAAAGATTATCTACAAATGACAAAAAACATAAAGCATGAATATAGAGAGAAATAGAAATTTTAAGAAGAAAAACAAAACTAAAATTTAAAATTAAAAAGTTTGAGTCCCACAAATTCGCAATTCTGATCAGTGACTAAAAGCAAACATCAACTTTGAATGGATTCATATTCGTGGATTTGGCTGATTCATGCTAAAAAGTCTAATTAAATCAGCATATTCGTATTTAAACTCTATCCTAAAGGAAGAAAGGAGGACAGTAACAGAACGATCAGAAAACAAAAAAACAAAAACAAAAAATACCCTGCTTTGTGCTAGCTCATGAGTGAGCTGAAATCTCAGTCTCCCTGGTCCCTAATCCTGCCCATCCACAAGGAGTAATCTGAGAAAGAGCCAACCTGAAAACTGGAGTATTCCTTTGTGTGCACTCCGACAGTTCCGCTGGAATGTAAGCCTGCTGATTCTTCTGTGGATGGACACACTTCCCCGTTTTCTGCAGGAAAACAAACAGGGTTCTGTTAAACCTAGAGATGGTAAAACTAAAGAAAACATCTGGAAAAACTGTGGAGGGCAGAAGGGAGAAAAGAGGTGTCTTGAGTTATTTATTTATTTATTTATTTATTTTCCTGACCCCATCAGGGAACACAGGATCATTTATCCTGGATATTTCCAAAACTTCACATTTCTAATGCAAACATGAAGATTTTATGAGCAAACCAAGTTACATATATAAGGCAGCTCTATATTCCTAATCAACAAATTGTATTTAAATTCATTTTTAAAAAAGCACAAAAAAATTATTTATAAAAGTTTTCCTTAAAATTTCCACCAAAAGAAAGAAAAAAAAAAAAGAATAAATCTCTTTTTCTTTGGATACACGATGTCTGACTATAACACCCTTTCTAGTGGGAAGCAAAGACTTACCACAGAAGGTTTTCTGGAATCTAGAGGAAAGTTTCTCAATGACCCCATAGCTCTCCACGTAGAAAATGTGCTCGTCCAGGGGTTCACTGGCCATCATCTTGAGAGACTCCATGTCTGCCCCGTCCACACCCACAGCGTAGAGCTCAGGGCCCGAGCCGCCACCTCGTTCACCTGGTCCTGGGGCCGCCCATCTGTCATGATGATGGCCACCTTAGGGATGTTGGAAGTGGGCCCCCAAGCTCCTGCCTCCACTGTAAAGGCTTCATCCATCGCTGTCTGGATGGCCAGGCCGGACATGGTGCCTGTAGACAAGGGTGTGATCCACGCCATGGCCCGATTCATGGACTGCTTATCCGAGTGGGTACCGAGATGAAACTCAATCTTCACTGTGCTAGCGTAGTTCACCACTGCCACCCGTGTGTCCACAGCCTCAGTGTCCAGAGTGTCGATTATCCGTGAGACAAATGTTTTCACTTTGGTGAACTCCAGGGGCCGTACACTATGGGAGCTATCAATGATAAACACCAAGTCCAAGGGCCTGCTCTTGCAAACACCTGCAAATAAGGGTGTGGGGAACAGAAATGACTAAGCCATGATCAGACCACAGTCAGAAACTCGGCAGTTCTCCCACCTGGAGAGCTCTGGGGTTGGAGACCAGGCAACACAGCATCCTCTGACCCCATGTTACCCCCGTTTGCTCACTTGCCCAAGACCACCCTCCGTTTGGATGTTGAAAGCACTGAGGCCTTCAGAACACACTAGTGAGAATTCACATAAAGGTGTGACTTTCCCTAAACATCTCTCCTATGGACTGGCTAAGCCCTCACATTTCACTTGGAGTCTCATCCCTCTGTGTAAAGTTCTGCTCAAAGGTTCCTCTTGACTCTCAGGAATAAATAGATTCCAGACCTTTCTTGGGCACTTTGTGCACCTCAGGCAACGGGACAGTGCCTGAACCATGTGACAGGGCAGCCTCACGGCTCACTCCCCTGCCCAGGCCTCACAGACCCCTCAGGCAATGGCAGTTTGAGGCGAGGAACATGTGTTCTCCTGGTGGCATCATTCTTTTACTCCACTCCCAAGGCGGTGAAGACTACTCCAGAGTGGCCCTAAATTCTCCCTCCAACTGGTCATTCACTCATGTTTAGTGGATTTTGGGGCCCAGCTAGCACTGAGCTATAGCTTGAAAGTGGAAAGAAGCAGATTAAGTGGAACTTAATCTGATCCATGTGTATTGCATTTGCATCTTTGTGAACATGTCTTGTTTAAGAAGCAGAGATTTTGACTTGATCTCCATCCTACGGCCCCCACCGAACTCTCTTAGTGACCTCTTTCATTTTTCATTTACCAAATTTTTTTCTTGAAAGCTTACTGGGTATTAAGCCAAAGGGCTACTAAAGCAAGTCAGCCAGATTCTCTGCCCTCAAGGAACTTGTATCTTTCCCACACAAAAGGACCTGGCATGTTGTAGCTACATAGTACATTTCTGTTTTCATC